GTGGCCTTGGGCAAAGGTTTCATCTCTCTGAGGCCCAGCTTTCTCACTGATGGCATGGAACTAATACCAGCATCTCCCCTGTGGGGCTTTTATAAGGATTAAAACATAAACACATATAATGCATTTAAAAATGTCTAACAGCATAAGCATGTAAAAAGCTTAACTAATATCGATTGTTATCCATCAGCAGTTCTGCGTCTTTGAGATTCTGAGAAAGCTGTGAGAGAGAATCATTGATGCCCAGCAAGGCTTGTCTACAGTGTCTGGGGAGGCCCAGCTCCTGGCCTCCCACTGAGGAACATGACCTTGGGGTGGTGAACACAGTGCAATATACGGAGGGTACATTCTAGAATTGGACCCCTGAAACTTCTATAATTTTGTTAACCAGTGTCAGCCCAATAAATTCAATAAAATTTTTTAAAAAGAAAGGAAGCTGTGGAGTGGCCCTACTCAAAAGATGGCGCCCATGCCCATCTCCACCTCCGTGAGCAGAGATACACTCCCATCTCTTCCTGTCCCAAACCCTGCGGTGACCAGGCTCCTCCCTCCTACCTGTCCTCGCTGTCTCCCAAGTCAGTCACAGGCCTCACTGCCTGTCCTGTCCCTGCCTCCCAGCACACACACTCTGAAGCCAAATCCACAAATGCCCTGGTCTTGACCATTCAGCCTGGCTGCCTCCTCACCCTGTTCCCGTCTCCCCACCATCGCATCTGCATTCAGTCCTTGTCTAAAGCCCAGAGATTTACAGCATAGGGCTGAGGCTATTACGCCCCACTGGAAGGTGCTGTGCACACTGAGAGGTAAACTCTTTGCTGAGGCTTAATTACCCGCAGATGTTGTGATGGGGTGCCAGTGTGCGAAAGCAATCTATCTCCAGTTTTAAGAGCTGGACTGGGTGTTCAGCACACAAAATTTGCTTCCCACTTGTTATTTATTTAGACAAAATTAATGACTCAGGAACCTTAACGCTACCACCGTCTTAGGAATGGTGTTCGGGTTTTAGAAGCAGCAGGTCAAATAGTTACATTAATTATTTACCCATTTGGCATCCTCGTCTCAAAAATTTGTGTTATTATTATTATTACATGTCTTGGTCTGGCAGCTGCCAGTTGGTCCCAGCCAGGGGACAATTTTGCTGTTTCCATGGGAACCGTGGAGGAGACGGTTCTGTTTGTCTGGCTCATAGTTCTAGCTCTGAAGAGTACCCCCGCCGGGTAAGAGGCAACAGAATGTCCTCAGCCAAGTAGCAGAGTCGAAATCAGAAAAGCTGGGTTGCAGCCGGAGCATCTCCACTCTGACTGCCGTCTGCAAAATGGGATGCCGGTTGCTGGAAGAATTCACTGTCATCCTATCTGCACAGTGCTCGGGGCAGCGAAAGGAATGCTCAGTAAATACTGCCTATTCCCTTGTATAACCAGCACTTCTTGGAAGCCCCCTCTGAGCTCCATATCCAGAGTGGAATTAAGTTCTTCCTCTTAGGCACCCACAGAAACATGGATAAGTTAGTCTCTGACATAGCATCACCAACCTGTACACAGCAACACATCTGTGTGTCTGTCCCTCACTAGATAGGTCGTTTTCCCAGGCAGGAGCCAACCATCTCTTACTCATCTATGCATGCCCAGCTCCTAGCAATAGCAACAGGCTCCAGAAATGCTCAATCACTGAGGAAAAAAGGAATGAAAGAAATAGGATATGCAAGTGGAGGCTTATTTTAGACTCCAGAGCATAATGCTAATTACGTAATATTATTACCTGTCTGACAGAGCCAAGTTTTCACTGAACTGGTGGTTTGAATGTCAAGGCTGGGGCAGTGTCACCAGATCTAGTCTACGCATCTTTATTTACAGGCACAAGAGGGTCTGTGCATCCACATTCCTGGTAGCAGCTGAGAAGAAGCCAGTCAAGCATTCTCAGTGCAACCAGACAGACCTGACTCCCAACTTCCTCAAAGAGCTCAACTTTGCCAGTGACTACACCTTCCACCAAAACCAATATGCAAGCTGGCCAGTGTGGCTCAGTTGGTTCAGTGTCGACCCGTGCACCAAGAGGTCACCGGTTCAACTCACTGTCAGGGCACATGCCTGGGGAAGCAGGACTGATCCCCAGGAGGAGGCAGCCGATCAATGTTTCTCTCATCAATGTTTCTATCCCTCACTCCCTCTCCCTTCCTCTCTCTCTAAAATCAATAAAAACATTTTTTTTTAAATGTGTCAAGATGCTACACTGATCACCACAGCTGTGGCTTTTCCTCCCTTCAGCCAAACTTTAAGGTTCTTAGGTGGCCAGTGCAGACACACCCTCAGTCTCCCCGCCTCTGTTAATTGATCTGGATAGCCAAGTATAAACACTACCTCTGTTTCTCACGATGTCCCCAAGCCACATGAGCACCTTAGACCAGAGCAAGAGACCTGCCCATTCAATGTCCTGAGATACCCTCCCCAAGTGGGTGCTGCCTGACAGCTCTGGAAAAGCTCCTAAGGGCCTTGGGACGCCCCCTCCCACATTCTCCAGGGCTCCGGGGTTAAGAGAGAAGGGCTAATCTCTTCTGAGAGTTAAAAGCCAACCTCTTTTTCTCCACATCCTCGGCAGCACTTGTCTTTTGTTGATTTGATGATGGTAGCCGGTCTGACAGGTG